CTTCTGTTGCTCCCACATATCTTCACTTCCCCAAAGAACCTGAGAGAGGCAGGCACTTTGAAGACAGAGGAAAACAGCAGAAAGTATGAATTGGATCAGTTGAGTAGATATCACATTTAGAGAAGAAAAGAAATTACTGAGAAGGAGACTACACAGATTCTTTTGTATGCTGTGCTCTCATTGCTATCCACAGCATAAAGTTATTTGCTTTATAAAACAATACAATAAAACAATGGATATTATCAGGGAAAAACCTAACTAGGAGTATACCAAAATGGTCACAGTGAGTATGATTCTACATGGATGGATTTTCAGAGAATTAAATTTTGTTATAGTCTCCAGAAATCTCTAGAATTTGTATATGAGAACATATTACACATATATATCATCTGAAAAGTCATTTCAAAACAAGATGAAGAGTGAGCACATCAGCCCTTATGTATGTTGTATCATTTCATCAAATATTAGCTAAATTAAATTGTCTCCTACATACATAATCCATAGTTTCAGTCAAAGGCCTTGCCCTAAAGTGTCCATTATAATCCGTTCTCCTTTTATCACCCATATAAATCAGAGGCATTAAAAATACACTAAGGCATATGTAAGTTCAACATGAAATACTTGACACCCAGAATTTACAGCACATTATCATTTTCACTAGTGAGTAGACATTCATTCACCATGTGCCTTACGAGACTAAGTGACAAGGTTGGCCTAGGAATGAACTCCTGGGAAAGACTGAAAGAGCCAGGTCCTACCTTAAATTCAGAGGAAGTCCACCTTCTCTTTTATTGAGAGTCCTGACCTTGAGATGCCACCAATTAGAGTCATCTTTTTGGATGGTGATTTTTAAGTGCCCCAAAGTGGAATTACCCATTAAACCATTCATTTAGGTCTTCTTCACCCTCCCTCAAAGAAGAGACACAAAATAACTTCAACAGGGGGTGGACACAAGTGGGTGTGGAAAAGGTAGGAGGCATCATTGTTATAGTTGGTTCACAACTGTCGCTGACTAGCAAATAACCTGCCCTTGGTCACCATCATGTCACACGGTGAACAAACATGGATGGTTGTGGGTAGAACTTTTTCTAAACATTTCAAGCCTGAGTTTTTCACTAGGTGGGAAACCAGAGCTCTCATCTTTCACAGCTATAAAGTAATTTAACCAATTACAGGGAAAAATTAAATGTCTTTCAAATGTAAATGTACATTATAAAGGCTAGACACTTTGGCTTCTCAACATACACAAAAAATATAGATTCTTTTGATCCTGGATGGGTGAACGTCAGGTTCACAGACGCTCGCTTCCAGATAAAACCCATGCTCATACAACAGTGGAGGATTCAGAGACCTCTACTGAGACTAAGGGTTAGAAGTTTCTTTGAACACTTCTTAGAATAAGTCTATATTTATATTTAGTACATTTCTCCCCATCTGAAATTGTCATAAGCCTTTACTTAATTTTCAAGAATTACTGCCCACAAAAGAAGTGATTTCATACAAGCAAGGACAGAAAGGAAACCCTATTGGCACTACCAGTTAAGAAACACTCCCAGCTGGCACTTTTTGACAAATCCCAGCACGTCCTGATGGCTATAAGTCAGGTCAGCTCTGATGTGAGGTGTCTGAGGTAGCCAGAAAAGAACAAAGCTCATAGTAAGGAAAAGTCCAGGTTCCTATGCTACCTCCTTGCAACCATTATAAAGGTTGGTTTTGAAAGAGATGCCCAAGTAATCTCTGAGGAAACTTGCTGAGCCTACAAAAGGAAACAAGCATTTTGTTGAAATTATGGGAAAAGTCTAAAGAAATGGGATGGGGGTGGAGGCTGGACAGGTAGGAGAAGAGCTAAACCAAGCACCATAACATGCTGCTCCAATGAACATATTCTGGAAATTAGGGACTAAATCCTTGAGTATCTCCTGTGTGCTGAGCACTTTACAAAGATTTTTGTGTTTGATTTTCACAACATCCCTGATAGCATGGTATGATTCTCATTTTGCAAATGAGGAAAAGGAGACTCAAAGATGAGAGTGAGAAAGAGCCAAAGGTCTTTCAGATTCAGATACAACAGACTTACTGTGAATAAAATATATTGTGTGGCTTTAGCAGTCTGCAAAGCAAAGCGATGGCCAACAATGTATGGAGGGGTAGATATTTAAAGCAGTATTGAGCTACATAATACTTGAATTGTTGGCCTATTTGCCCAAAACCCCTATCGGATGAGTGCCCATCCAACCACAGTGAGTAGACTGGCAGACTATCATTCTCTGGCACTCAATTGGTCTACAGGTCTCATCTTTCTCATATAGGAAAGGTCCTATAGATTGCTGGCTTTAGATCATAGTCAAGGCCCCATTTTCATACCTGTAAAAAAGTCATATATGCATTATTTCCATAATTCCTGGATTCCTGAATTTTTTTTTTTTTGGACATCTTATCCAGTCAGTGCTGCTTCTGCCTGGTACTGCAAAGGTTTTCAAAACAAAATAAAAAGGCAGGTCAAACTTTGTTGTGAAAATGTCAAGATCAGGTTTCATTGAAATCTGACATTCTAATAAAGTCAACGTGTCTGTACAGCAGCACCTACAGTGTACAGAGGAACACAAATAAGGACTGGGGAAAATGTCACTGTTTAGTTAAAAGAATTGATTGTGGAAAGAGGATCTCCACCATGGAGTTAATAAGCAGTGACCATGGACTGCCCCTGACATTGTTGGTACCTCTTAGCCTAGAGACTCAGGAAAAGGGTTTCAACACCATCCTAAATGATAGTACAGCTGACAGGAAAATGGGTGCTCCCTCCACCCAACTCCCGTCACATCACGAAACATAAGCTTGCTCTTACTTGTCTGCCTGGTCTTGACAATTGATTCCAGTTCAACCCTCTTCATGTTACAGGCCTATAGGCTGACGGTATTGCACTTTCCCATGACAAGTTCTGAAGCAGATGGTGACTGCACAAATCTGCCAGGAGACTTTCCTGTGGGCGGACAGCCTCCCACCACTACAGGAAAGTTATGTACCTTGGAAGCTCATCTAGGTGGGTGGCTGGGGCACACCTATTTTTCTCTTATCCAGAGTAGTTTCTGAAAATGGTTGGTGGGGACCATGTACTCAATCATGCAGCCTGTGTGAAGTAGTCAAAAGAGTGAAAGATAATGTAAGATAGAAACTACATAAATCAAGCACGAAATCAGATAGGACTGCTATTTTAGAAACCTGACTGCAGCTTCAAAAGAAACAATAGTTCATCCTACTTTAATGAAAGATGGAGCAATTATTAAATATTAGACTGAAAGGCATTGTCTGTTATTTCCTACAAGGGAGGTTCAGAAGTTCATTTTTTTCTCTTCAATGATAAGGCTATTAAATCATACAAAACTATGGATAATCAACTTTTGTAATGGGTTTTGTATTCTCACTTTGTTACTAATTACTGACACTCATATACCATGCAAGATTGTGGGTAACAAATCATTGAAATAGGTTTTTGACAAAATACAGCTCAGTTTTTGTCTCAGTAATTGGTAAGGTAGTAAGTTTAAAATTGCTTCTATTAGAAACCAGCTAATACCACTCACAAAAATGTCATGAAGGATCCATTCACTACGTAAAGTTACTACAATCTGACATTAAACATAGGTCTTTGAGTACATGTAATGTTTATCTTTCCATTCCTGAGATACTTGACTTAGGATAATGGTCTCCAGTTCCACCAAAGATGCTGCAAAAAAACATTATTTCATTCCTATACGAGATATCCATGTAACAAAAAATTCATATCTCCTTAATATTTTGAAATAAAAAAACCCATAGATCTTTGAGGGGAAATACAAAAAAATGGATAGCTGCTAAAAATGGGGGATTTGCTCTTAATTGGCAAGGATGATTCTAGGATATTATAGAGAATGAGCATGCAGTAAAAATGCCTTTATTCCACACTTAAATAATTATTTAAAGGATAGGGCTTTTCCTGAAAAGTTAGGATAAGTGAGGCAGTTAATATCCTAATTCATGAAGTCTGCATTCCTCAAAGTACCAACAACACAGATAAAGTAAAACCCAAACACTAGCAATGAATCTTTCACATTTCTAATGTCATCAGGTGGTTTGAGAAAATACCAATGCTCTGTCACTCACATAGGAGTCATTGAACCATTTCAACATGACACAACATGTACAATTCAAGTCAATATCAAGAATCATCCCCCCTGGCCTGGAACACCGGGCAGAAATGAGCGGGCATGCAGCTGAACTCCTCACACGCTCCCTGGAGCTGGTTAGTGGGCTCCCTGCCAAGGCTCTGAGCATGGTGGCGTGGGAAATGTCCATGATTCTGCCCCTCCCTGGCCCTCAGTTTCCCCATCTGTGGAGATGACAGGAGTACATATCAGATGTGCTGTACGGGTACCTCTGGTATTTACTGAGCACCTGCTGGGCCCTGGCCCCAGGCGGGAATCAGACACAGTCCTGCCCACAGAAAGGCCACATCCCATGGTGGGGAGGGGGCGGGCATTAAACACGTGAGCAAACAAGAAAACATCAGATAGTGGGAAGTGCCACGAGCCTGGGCTGGTAAGGAGGGAAAGGGGGAGGTGTGGGGATGCCGGGGAAAGTATTCAGCCAAGCAAAGTCTGTGCAAGAATGCTGCAAACATAGAGAACAACAAGCACAAAGAAGGACATGGACTTGATGCATGTGACAAACAGCAGGAGGTCACTGTGGCTGGTGCTGGGAGCATGATGGGGTAGGGGGTGAGTGCAGAGCGCAGAGGCCAGATCGTGGGAGGCTGTTGGTTAGCCTAAGGGAACATAAATTTTTTATAATATCCAGTAGCACTAAGGCTATAAGGAACTCAAACATCACATTATCAAGAGAAATAACTTTCCCTCACAGAAAGTATTGCTACTGGAAGCTCGGCACTTGTCCCTGAGGCTGCATCAAAAGAATGAACAAGAGATTGAGAGAAGAAAGAGGATTTATTAATTTGCTGCAAATGAGGAGGATGGAGACTCCTGTTTAAAATGCCATCATCCTAATAATAGGCAGAAATGCAGAGCTTTCACAGGGAGGTTTTCAGTTTCAGACCATTTCTGTTCAACTACAGTCGATGATTCTGATCATCTCATGTCAGTCCCATCTCTGCTGAAGACAATCCCAGAACCTCCACGCAGACAGTGGTGTTGAGCCATCTCCTGTAGCACAAAGAACAAAGGACACTGCCCCTCCAGACCACTGGCTTGGGGCAGAGATGCAGGTTTTAGTTCCCAAAGAGTGAGTGAGGTTTTAAAGAGAGAGATAACATTTTTGCTGTTTTTTCAGGCCATTGCCTGTTACATAATCCTCCCGACTCCATCAATTTCACCCTTCCATATTTATGGGAGGAGGGGCAACGTAAACTTTGAGTTATTTTCTGTTGAATTGGGGTGATATTTTAGATTGAAGGTTTATACTGTAAAGCTCTGGCAGTATATTTATGGCAACAAATTACCAGGCAAAAACAGTCAGAAGCAATAAGTACAATAGTGAGGATTGATGGACTGTCGCCTTGTACACAATGTCTGATACAGGGCTGGGTTAGAAAGAAACATGGGACCTCTGAGTACAGAACTATTGGTTGCACCCTGTAGGTGATCTGACAGACCAGCTTTTGTAACTTCAGAAATACTTGCACTGAACCAGGTTTAGGGTGACAAGCCAGCAGTAGGCAGATCAACAGAAGACACAATAGCCTAGGGAAATCTTCACTAAGGACTTATCCCTCTATCCTAGAGACTAAACAAATAATCAAAGGAAAGTTAGTAAAAATATCAACTTTTTTATTTTTTTCCTTTTTAAAATCACATACTTTAGATTGCCTAAAGGCTGGCCCCTCTACTTGGTGCTTGGGTCCTCTTCTTCCATGGGACACCTCTTTACTCTGGTATGATGGATATGGCTTTTATTTTTGACTGTTTTAATGAGCTGTTAGAGACACTTGATAGAGTCTCTTTCACTTTTTTGTTTCCAACTGGGGCGGAGACTTGAAAGAGGCAAACTCATGTATAGCATCTGACCCACTCATTTGACACGTTGTTTTACTCTGTTGGTTTTACTCATGGTTATATTATCATATTTACCTCGAGATGTTAGGAAGGGTGTCTCATGGCAACATATGTAACCTTAACACTTGTACTCCAATAATATCCTAAAATAAAATAAATAAATAAATAAATAAATAAATAAATAAATAAATACAAGTTTAGGCATCTGAACGAAATTGCTAGTCACTGTAGGTCTTTTATTGTTTGGTTGGTTTTTGTTTTTGTTGTTCTTGGACCACCCTGAGCACATAAACAATTTCTTGTAAGTAGGGTCTTTCCGAATGAGGATTCATCAAATCCATTAAAGCAAGCACCTAGACAGTACAAGGTACACAGAGTCCTCCCAAATGAGGTGCCCCCAAATCCATTAAGGCATCGCATCTATAATGTGTGTATTCATGTAGCTGCCTCACAAGAGGCCAAACCAAGGCTTCTGGCCTAAAAATGAGTCCGTGAGAATTCCGCCTTCATTTAACTGTGTCATCCCAGATGTCACAGTCTTTACTTCCAATGCAGATCTAAATCTAGCCTGAGTATCAAGGCCCCAGAGAACAGATCATCTCCAGTGGCCTCCTTAGCAGCTCTGCAAGTCACCTTTCTTTGGCCATGTTGGCCGCCTGCTTGGCTCAGCCATGGCCTGTTTCAAGGCCATTATTTTAACCAATTCAGTACGGCACTGACCGGCCGGGAAATCTTGCCCACAGCCGGGACTGTTAGTCTGCACAATACTTTGTGCTGTACATTGGCGATGAATTCATTTTGCTCTTGTGTGATGAAGAAAGCTTGAAAGCACTGAAAGCTTGTTTTACTTTACAGGCAGCTTTACTTGTAATGTAAATCAGAATAGGTAACATATACATATATGTTTTCATTACATTATTTTTAAATGTTCACAATGTTATTTTGATAAATGAAAAATTAGAAAAGTCATATCCCGGCTGTTGGCTAAAGTCGCTGTGCGTATTCATCTGTGGCTATTGACTATAGTTGACGCTCGTACCGAAGTGGTTAATGGCATACTAAATATCTGTATTTTCTGTCATCAGGAGACTACCCCCTTTTTTAATGATTTTTTTTTTTTGAGACTGACTCTCACTATGTTGCCCAGGCTACAGTGCCGTGGCGTCAGCCTAGCTGACAGCAACCTCAAACTCCTGGGCTCAAGCAATCCTCCTACCTCAGCCTCCCAAGTAGGTGGGACTACAGGCATGCGCCACCATTCCCGGCTAATTTTTTCTATATATTTTTAGTTGGCCAATTAAATTCCTTCGATTTTTAGTACAGACGGGGTCTCGCTCTTGCTCAGACTGGTTTCCAAGTCCTGACCTTGAGTGATCCGCCCGACTCAGCCTCCCAGAGTGCTAGGATTACAGGCGTGAGCCACCCCGTTGGGCCTTTAATGGTTGTATGAGCATATATTATCAAAAAACATATTTAGAGTCCATATAAATGTTTATCTTTTTCCCTCTGGATAACTGTTCTGGTTAAAGCCACTAGCTCAGTTTTCTGGGCCAAAGTCCCAGGTGGCAGTGCCACTGTCATGGTCATCACATAACCAGCCCTTCGTTGTCCATAAAGCTGTCCCTGACAGTGAAAAGATCCCAGTCTTGCTCTGACATTGGCTGATCTGACGGATCTATCCTGCTAGAACACACAGTCTCTAGAACCTCTACACAGTCATATGGTAAAGGCTTATTCTCGTTGGCTGGCAAAAAGGTGGCAGGATTGAGAAGAGACACAGTCTTTAATAACAACTCAGAAGTAGCTGTTACTGGCCGGGCGCTGTGGCTCACGCCTGTAATCCTAGCTCTTGGGAGGCCGAGGCGGGCGGATTGCTCAAGGTCAGGAGTTCAAAACCAGCCTGAGCAAGAGCGAGACCCCGTCTCTACTATAAACAGAAAGAAATTAATTGGCCAACTGATATATATATAAAAAAAAATTAGCCGGGCATAGTGGCGCATGCCTGTAGTCCCAGCTACTCGGGAGGCTGAGGCAGAAGGATCACTCGAGCCCAGGAGTTTGAGGTTGCTGTGAGCTAGGCTGATGCCACGGCACTCACTCTAGCCTGGGCAACAAAGCGAGACTCTGTCTCAAAAAAAAAAAAAAAAAAAAAGAAGTAGCTGTTACTGCCTGGAGGAAAAGAGGCTATTTTCTCACCATATTGTTTAATGGCTTTCAGAAGTATGTCACTGGCCTGGGATGTCTCCCTGCATCTATACGAAGACTCTAAGGCTCATCATTCTTTATTTGTTGCCTATTTATGAGTCAGGCAAACACACAGCAGGGGCAGTCATAAGCTGTCCCCTTAATGGCCCCCTGTACAAGGCCTTTACTATCATTCTGAAGTCTGGGATCTAGATGCCATTTCTAGGAACCCTAGATAAGTAGCCTGTTGTTTGTAATTCTTTACAATTGCAGGTTCCACAAGTCCCATTTAGCTTTTATCAAACAGGGCAGAAGACCCCATTAGGCAACACAGGACATCTGAAGATCCTGTACTGTAAATGCAACTGAGTACCATTCAAGTTTCTCGGCCCCTGTTTGCTTCTCTACAGCTGTCTCCTGGCTGGGCATAGCTGGTGCCTGGGGCTGGGGCAGTGGCTGGGAATGGGTCTTCCCAGACCACTTCTGTCCATGGGCTTGGCACTAATTGAATCCCTACTGTCAATTTTGCCCATGGCTCCTGTGGGAATATTTGAAGTCATGGGGCTCCGAGTGCCCTACTTTCTTTGCTGTCTGAGTCCTACACTTTTAAAAACAATATTTATTCTCCTGGGGGCTTCTTGCTACCTGGAGTCCTGGCAGTGTTTTGTCGAATGTCTTTTCTTTTTACAAAATCACAGTGTTTAGAGGACCCTTGTTTGGCACCGCTAACTGAAGACTAATAGATTTGAGTTTATTGGTTTTTTTCCTGGCATCATATACTTTTTAATCGTTCTGCTCTGGCTAGGGATGTGTGCTTTGCCCAAACTAAATTTTCTGCCGGGTCTTAGAAGTTGAAACCATCTCAACCCCAAGTCCTAAGCCAGAGGGCGTAGGATTGAACAGTTCAAGTTGCACCTTCCCCTGGCCCTCTCATGGTGACAAGATGATGGTGATGGGGGGTAGTTGAGCAACAGGCCTTTTCTCTATGCCCCCCACTGGCCATGTTTGCCAGTCTTCCCTCTCCCTGGTAGGGGATGGGCAGGAATCCAACTGTTTAACTAAAAGTATCATGACTACCTCACCTACCACCAGTAGAGGTCTCTCTTGTACTATTAACGACATCTAGGTCTTTGAGATCCTTACAAATGAAATGTCCGACCTCAAAATTAAACAAAGAAATCGGACATTTGATATAGGCTCACATCCCAACCACCTGACCTTTGACAAAATATTTTTAGTTACAAGACAGTCTAAGGTTTTATTTAATAGCCACTTCTCACACTCCATCACGTACATGGGATTACAACGATACCTTTTGCTTACACATAGGTTTCTAGCTATAAGTTGACCATTTAGCCAAAATTTTTCCCAAGACAATTTTAGATGGAACTTCTTTACATTGTAACAAAAAAATCACAAATAACAAACACAGACACTAGAGAATTTTCAAGACACAATGCTTGGGCCTTACCAGATGGAAACCACAAATCGAGAACCAAATTTTCTCAAAGGAGAATCAGCACTTCTTAATCCAAAGGGGACGAAATGAGAACCAATTTTAACAATTTTCAATCCCGTCCTGGTTGCGTGAGACCCACAGATGATTTTAATCCAAATCAGGTTCCCTAGGTCCACTCAACCTCTTGACATCTATCCCCAATCTGGTGCCTTAAAACAAAGGCAACAGGGAGTTCCAACCACCCCCCCATCCCACCCCTGGCATATAGCTGGACTCAGGTCTCAGTGTCCCAGGGAGCTTTATTTACAAATTGCTGTGGCTGTTGCTAAGCTTCCCAAATCTATTTCCTTCCCCCAAACTCAATTCAGCTTGGGCGGAGTTGTATGCATTTAAGGCGAAAGAAATGGGACTTCCTCAGAGCTAAATAGGACCTGGCAGCTGCTGGGTAGCCCCTTACTTTCTTGCCCAAAAAGCTGATGTTCCTACCTAAGGCTTGTCCCAGAGCTGTTCCCTGCCTCTTACAGCAGCCACAGGATGCGGGTCCCCTGGGGGAGCTAATGGCACACCCAGCGATCCCAAATGTGTTACCGAAAGCTTGGCAGGTTTCCCCGAGCCACATCAGAAGAAGGACAAGTGGTTTGAAGAGGAGGAAAAAGGAGTTTCCTAGTTTGCTGGCATATGAGGAGGATGGAGACTCCTGTCTAAAATGCCAGTGTCCTATTAATAGGCAGAAATACAGAGCTTTTAACCACTCGGGGAGCGCGCTCAGCAGCTGAGAAACCTTGCCCACAGCCAGCACTCAGTTCGCAGTATAGTATGTGCTGTGCATTGACAATGAATCCATTTTGCTCCTGTGTGATGAGGAAAGGTTTAAAGCACTGAAAGCTTGTTTTACTTTACAGGCAGCTTTCCTTGTAATGTAAATCAGAATAAGTAAAATTTACATGTATGTTTTTATTACTTTTTTTTAAATGTTCGCAGTTTTATTTTGATAAATGAAAAATTAGAAAAGTCATATCAGGGCTGTTGGCTAAAGTTGCTGTGCGTGTTCATTTGTGGCTGTCAACTACAGTTGACGCTGGTCCCAAAGTGGTTAAAGGGAGGTTTTCAGCTTCAGACAACTGCTGTTCAACTATAGTTGATGATTCTGATCATCTCAACCCTGTCCCACCTCTGCTGAAGACAATCCTGTGACCTCTGCCCAGGACCTCTACCTGGAGAGTCCCTTGACTCATCTCCTGGAGCACAAAGAACAAATGACATTGCCCCTCTGGATCAATGGCATGAGGCAGAGATGCAGGTTTTAGTTCGCAAACACTGAATGAGATTTTAAAGAGACATAAAATATTTTTGTCATTTTTTCAGGCCCTTCTCTGTTTCAGTATCAGGTTACCTCCAGTGATTAGCGACCTCAGCTTTTTGAGCAAAACAACAAGTAGTTTTCTTTCATCTAATTCTCCCCTTGAATATAAATTAAGTGTCACACAATGGAAGCATGAGTATAAATCCGTAGACACTGCCTATTTCTGAAGCCAATGTGGTGGCACTTGAGGCATTAGGCACAGTCAGCACTTGTGGCCAAACGGTCAGGGACAACACCCTCTCCCTGATAGTGGAGGAGTAGCATGTTCCTGCCACGTCATGTCCCGACCCGTCTGGCCTTGGATCACTCCTTTACTCCTTGTTTGTAAATAGAAACTACATAAATAACTTTTTCCATGTAGAAATACCTGGAAAGGAAGACCTAGGCCAACATTCTAAAAACAACACATTAAACACGGAATTATTATGTTTCTAAAATAAAATTCAAAAGTATGGAATACGACCTGCCAGGGCCATTCACTCCCAGAAGAACACTCCTTTGTGAGTTTCGTTATTCATAAAATGAAAACTCCCCATGATTTTCAAAGGAAACACATGAAAACACTAACGATGGAATTGATTTGATAATGTGATATTCAACATGCAATTGTTCTGGGAGACTGAAACCCCAAATGGTGTTTGGAGGTGACAGGTTACATGCACTTCTGGACATTCACTTTCATAAAACAATAAACAAACAGTCAGATAGATGGTCAATGTGTGCTTTTGTAAAAAACATTGAAATACTACAAAACTTTCTTCATTTATAGATTTATGAAATAAGATACACAAACACTAAGATTTCAGCAAATATAATGATATTAAAACAATTTCATGGTAAAATAAAATGAAAAGTTTGGCTGTGTAGCCACTTGAAACCAGTAACTGTTGTAGAGCAAAAGGCACAGAGGCAATTATTGACACAAAAATCTTTTCTTCCTTTGGGAATTGAAAATAAAGCAAAACCTCTTAACACAAAACTTATGAAAAGGGCCAGGACCTACATTTAATAAAAACAATTGGTAACAAACACAAATCTCCTGTAAAATAAAATCCCAAACTGTGCTTAGTGGCTGCCAAGGATAGAGAGGTAAGAACTTCACTGTCACAAAATATCAAGGACTCAGCAAACTGATTAACTTACACATTTATAAATCAAAAGGACCAGAAAACATTTATTTTAAGAAAATTTATAATTAGGAAACAAGAACAGAATTTAAGCAATGCAAGTTATATCGAACATGCAATTACATTATTAACTTAAAGGCACTCAATCAGATGTTAATTTCTTTTTCTGTAAATTGAAATTGACACGAAACTTTTTCGAGGAAAATTATGAGGAGTGCCAGGACTAAAATTTAATTGAATGCTATGAAGATGAACACGTAAAATTAAACGCCACACAGTATCCAATTTTGGCTGCCAAGACTGACTACCAGACAGCCACAGTGGCTGTAAGTATCAAGCACCCAGCAGGACAATTCATTTTCAAACATATACAAGGAAAATACTTTCATTTGAAGACTATTTATGGAACATGGACAAAATTAAGATGAAACAAATTCAAATCACTGCAACATCATGAAAACAACCCATGCCATTATATGGTAAAATAAAACAAGAAATAGCATTCCTGGGTGCTTGGTTACTTTCAGAGACTTAAAGCAAAATGCTCTTGAATACCAGAATGCTATTTTCATTTTTTCTAAAATGCGAATAACACCAGACTTCTTCTGAAAAATGCATTAAAAGCATCAGAACCATACTTGGTTGATACAATGATTATTAAATAAACATATTCTATGCAAATGCAAATCAGTGTCAATAGCATCTGAAGGACATTTACAGTAGTGAGAGAACAAACCCTGAGCCGACCAGGCCACCCAATTCCTTATTTGAAATTACCAAGATTTCTTTTTTCTTTTGAAGACAACATATAGAGAAGACCAATTCCAAAATTTAACCAAAAAATGTATTACATGCACAGTCATGTTAAAGAAACACAAAATACCACTCAAAGGCAGCTAAGGATTGTCAGCTGTCATAATCCCAAGTACAGTCCCACAGCATGTGATTTAATACTTTCCTCCTTTTCAAGTCAAAAACAATAGAAATGTGGTCTCTGAAAAGAAATCTCAAGAAAACTGCCAAGACCAAGATTTTAAAAAGTACCCTTCCACAATATCCATCCAAAGAGTTTTTAAAACAAAGGGAAAATCAAGCCCCTGGTGGCCACTGTGCAGTCCTTGACCAACACTGGCTCACCCAACAACATCAGTTGATTCTTTTTTTTGAGACAGGGTCTCACTCCATTGCCCTGAGTAGAGGGCGGTGGTGTCAGCCTAGCTCACAGCAACCTGAAACTCCTGGCTCAAGCGATCCTCCTGCCTCAGCCTCCTGAGTAGCTGGGACTACAGGCATGTGCTACCATGCCCGGCTAATTTTTCTATTTTTAGTAGGGTCGGGGTCTCACTCTTGCTCAGGCTGGTGTTGAACTCCTGCCTCAAGCAATCCTCCCACCTCGGCCTCCCAGAGTGCTAGGATTGCAGGCGTGAGGCACCGCGACTGGTAGATTTCCTATTTTTAAGTTAAAAACACCACGAAACCTCAAGATTACTAAGAGGGGGCCCAAGACCAGCATTTGAACAAACAAAATGATGTGAAAGACTCGTCGTGTTGTTACATAAAGTACCACTCTGTGCCTGACGTGGCCAATGGGCTTCCCTGTCATCAATCCCTGAGCCGCTGGGACACATCTGTGATACACAGATGTTAGAATACACCGTATACTTAATTTGATCAGAATCACCACACAAACCACCAATGAAGAATTAAATTGAATTAAACTTACACTTTCCCGATAGTCGAAGGGGGTGGGGCCACATTCTCACATCCACTCAGGCAACAGTCCATGGAAGCAGCATCCCACAGTTCAGATTGGACTAAGACTGGTCACGTGGTAGCGCTTCTTGGACAGCCAGTCTGTGGCCCCACCTTCCAACAACATCATTGGAGGATATGAAATGATTGACAGGGAGCTCATCCAATCTCTCCACTTCTACAAATGGAAAGTCTGCCTATACCTCAAGGCCCAGTTAAATAATTCAAGTCCTTCCTCATATTATTATTCCTTATTATACCTATGCACATCCCTCAATGTCCAGAATGCCACTAAGGCCTATGCACATGTGATAACCTCTGTTTCCTGTCATTTCTGATTTCTGAAATCTTGCTCACCTAGTTTAGGGAGGCCCAGCCCACTTGCAGCCTCCTCCAGGGAGCCTTACATGCTTTACTCCATCACCAGTTTCTTCCCTGGAGAGAAAATTCCCCATGCCCCAGATGCCATCAGTGCAGCTCTGTGCCTCCTGTAGGACCTTCCACAAGGCATTTGAGCCATTAGAGTGTGGAAGACAGAAGTGACTGGGGAATATGTTGCAAGAACATGCCAGTAACAGCAGCTCACTTTCGTAAGTCTATGCAGGTGAGCACAGCTCATGATTAACACGAAAGAGTGAGTGGTCAGCTCAACCAAGAGGGATTATTTCCCAGAAACGACCACAGTTGCCTCTCTGAAGACTCCCTCAGACTAGTCTACTAGGCTACAACATCAGACGGTGAAGGGCAACTTTTCTCCAAGCAATTTTTCACACACTGAGGGTGTACACAGAAAGAGGCAAAACCTGCAAAGCCTCCACCAGCAGTGAAGGAAAAAAAAGAGAGAGATATGAGGAGGTCCTAATAAACAATTATTGATATTGGTCATAGAAAGCGCTAACTAGACATGTCGCCAAATGGTCACTGGAGGTGTTAACTCTGTGTAAACAGATTTCCAGTAATTAATTGTGCCTGATACTCTCCGCTGAAATATCGTAGACATCTGCACATGGGAACATTACGCTAGATGATCTGAAAAGTTGTTTCACAATATAGACCAACAGTGAGCCATAGTCTTATATATGATTACGTATTTCAGAACAATTAGTGACTCAATTGCTCCTACGATCTTAATCTGTAAGGTTCAATCAAAGGCCTTGCCTTGAAGTGTACGTGATACTTCCCATTGCGGTTTCCATTCACTTATTTAAATAAGAGGCATAAATACGCTTGCCAGGTGTAAACGATGAGTGTGACCTGACACACTCACACCAAGCATTTACTCACATTGCCATTCCCAGTGGGGCACATTCACTTGATACACACTGGAAGAGGAAGCAGATACAAGGCTGCCTAGGAAGAATCCTGCAGAGGATCCAAGGAGCCGGCCACTTAAATTCAAGAATGTCCACCTTCTCTTTCATGCAAGGGATCCAGGATCCTTTGAGACTGTCACCAATGAGAGAGATCAGCCGATTTTGGCACCGCTCCACCGCTGTGAATGCTTCTTAATGCAACGCTCATGCAGAATGATCCTAAACCATTCCATTTAGGTGTTTCGACAGGCTTACCCGCCCTAACAACTAAGAGATCCAAGATCGACTGATGCATTACAGACAGAGGGAGAGGATCACCAGCAAGGTGCGTAACAGAAAGAGCGTGTTGCGGCATAACTTGAGTTCACAACTGCTTTGACTTAGAAATGAGTCAGCCTGCCTCACAATCTCTTATTTGGGCTATGGTGAAACATGGGGTTTGGGTAAAGATTTTTCTATGTATCATTAGCATTAGAATTTTTCATTGGGTGGAAAATAACAAGACCGCTCATTTTCCAAGGATTTTAAAGTAGTTTGACCAGTAAACAGGATAAATCAGAGGACTGGGAAAACAATGTGCTGGATAAAGGCTAGGATACTTTAGTGTCTAATCTAAAGGCAAAATGGTGAATTTCCTTCACCAATAGCACACAAAGAATTAAAGTCCCTAGGAATATACTTACCAAGAATAAAAGACCCTACAGGGAGAATATGAAACACTGAGGGAAGGAAATAGCAGAGGATGTAAACACGATGGACCAACATGTTCGTGATCGCAGACTCAGTATCATCAAAATGTATACTACCCAAAACTGATCTAAGATTCAACTGGCAATACCTATTAAAATCCACAGCATACTTTCACCGAGTATATAGACAAAATAATTTACCCTTCGTATGGAACACAGAAGACCCGAATATCAAAGAATTCTAGGCAAACAACAAAGACAAAGGGAGCAAATTCAAATATATAACACAAAGCTTAGTAATAAACAAATATGGTATTGCAAAAAATAAAATGTACCAGTGGAACATGATGGAATCCTGATGATAAACAATCCTCATATAGCCATATAACTTTGACAAGCAGACAAAAACATACGGCGGGGAAAATGCAATCCCTTCATAATGGTGCTGGAAAACTAGATAAGCCACCTGCGAGAAGGCTAAAAGGACCCACACCTTTCACCTCTCACAAAAACCAACTCACGCTAAAAACTAATACTATAGGTATGAAACGAACTATTTAGAATTCTGAGGAAAAGTTGGAACAACACTCTCCTAATAGTCGGCCTGGGCAAAGAGTTTATGAAGAAGTCCCAAAGGTATACAGCAGCAACAAAAATAAATAAATGGGACATGACTCAAAACTACAAAGCTTCTGCACAGCCAAAGAAATAGTCATGAAAATAAACAGACACCTACAGAATGGGAGAAAATTTTTTGCATCCTACTGCATCCGATAAGACTGTAATAGAATATACTTAGAACTCACGAAAATCAGTAAGAAAAAATCAATAACCCAATTAAATTAGTGGGCAAAGGACTTGACAACAGAAACTTTTCTAAGAAACAGAAGATATCGGCAAACAAACCTATATGAAAATGCTCAGCATCCCTAAATTCATCAGGGAAATGCAAATCAAAAGCCACAATGAGCATCACTCACGTAATCCTAGCTGAGAATGGTCCTTTATCAAAAAATCTCCAAACAATAAATGCTGGCCGTCGGTTGCGGAGAGAGAAGGAACACTCTCACTGCTGGTGGGACTGCAAACTAGTTCCAACCTCTGTGGAAGAGCACATAGTATGGAGATACTTAAAGCGATAGCAAGTGAATCTACCATTTGATCGCAGCAATGCCCCATTGCTGGGGATCCTACCCAAAAGATCCATATGACACTCTACAGAAAAGGAGCACCTGCCCTCGAATGTTTACTAGCAGCACAATTCATCAACTTGCAGGGCTGTGGAAACACCCAACGTCCATGCCCATCCACAGAATGATAAACAGAGGGTGGTATATGTATACCATCCCAGCCCGAGTAACTATTCCGCTCTAAAGAAACAACTGGGATGATAGCAGCGACATCTTATATTTTCCGCTGTTAGAGCTGGAACCATTACTACTAAGTGGTATCCCAAGAATGAAAACAAGCACCAGATAGTATTCAGCTCCAGCAACTGGTATTACATGAGTGGCACTAATGGACACATAGTCTAGCAGTAATAGGGTCATTCGGGCAGGGAGGGGCGGGGTACTGATACATGTACCGCATAATGAGTGAGATTGTGCACCCATCTGGGGGATGGTCATGATGGAGATCTCAGACTGTTTGGGGAAGCGGGAATGGGCCCCATCTCTATTGAACCAGTTAAAATCTGTACCATAATTGCGCAAAATACAAAAAAAACAATTAAGAAACAAAATAACATCGGCGTGGCCTCCCCATTGACTAATAAATCAGAGATCTCAACCTGGTAAGCAATCCAGCGACCCTGGTGGATTTTGCAATTGTGATTCTGTAGAGCAGCCGGTTTTCAACCCATTGGTCTCAGCACAGGTGACATTTAGAGCTGATCATTTGTTTTGGGTAGCGGGTGAGGGAGGCCTGTGCGTTTGGCAGCTCCTGGGATGTTAGCAGGCATCCCGGCCCTCCCCATCCCGAGATTGTGTAGTACTCTCCTGGTGGTGAGGACCAAAATGTTTTCCACATATCAACGCCAAAGTCTAGAGGACAAATCGCTCTCTCCCCATGCTGAGAACCACTGACTGTCAGATGAATACGTCCTTTTTTCTCAATGTTATCCCAACTTAAAAAAAACAAAAGAAAGACAATTGGAATTTGATCCTAAGATGAGTTGAACTGCAGGTCTGTGATGCCAGCCGTTCGCCAATGGAAAACATTTTCGGCCTTTTTCTTGTGCAATAGGAAAGGTACAGGACAACAGAGTAGGCCCATTAAGGATTATCGTTAGGAGTCTCTGTGGAACATCTTACAAGTGCCATATTTCCACTTAGCGATGTATCATCCGCTGTCATATTTTCAAATGTCTTCTACCGTGATTCAATGAATTATCACCACAGCAGAAATAATGAGTTAAGCATAGGGAAATGAAAAGGCGGGGAAGCACCTCTGCAGCTGCAGTTAACAGGACTCCCCACCCTGCACAGGTTGGGCAAACCAGTAGCAGACGTCCTGATGAGATACTGGGATCCAGCCGCTGGTCATCCTCCATGTGCAGGGCTGAGTTTGGCAGAACAGAAAGTTGGCTGAGGAGAAGGAAAATCCTGC